CACTTGCATTGCTTCATCATAGAACTCTGGTTCACCATTCTCAGTCAACAACAAGTAGTGTAAAGAAGGAGAATACCGTTGGGTTGGTTTAGGAATTCTGGAGGAGCGTCTCAGTTCTGGTGTGCCTGGTTCTTCCTCTTGAACTGTTTCAGGACTGATCTGAACATCATTTCTAGAAATCTCCTCGAACTCAGCAAATTCCTTTGTTTCAGCTTCGGTATTACTTGATTCTGCGGTTGACCTGTCTTTGTACATCACATTTTCATTGAAAATTACGTCTCTGCTTCTGATGATCTTTCGATTTTTGTAGTCCCAAAACCGGTAACCGAACTCATCACCACCGTAACCAACAAAGACGCATTTGTTGGACTTGGCATCGAGTTTACTTCTTTCAGTAGAGTTTATGTGTACATAAGAAATACAACCAAACACTCTTAAGTGTGAAAGGTTTATTTCTTTCTTGCTCCAAGATTCCTCTGGTATTCCGCCATCCAAAGGAACTGAGGGCCCACGGTTGATCAGGTAAGCTGCAGTGTTGATAGCTTCAGCCCATAGAAATTTGGGCAATCCGGCATGTATCCTCATGCTTCTGGCATGTTCATTCAGAGTTTTGTTCATGCGCTCTGCTACGCCATTCTACTGCGGTGTTATGGGAACTGTTGTCTCCATCTTGATCCCATTGTTTGCGCAGAAATCTCTGAAACTATTGTCTCTGTACTCTCCTCCATTGTAAGACCTCAACCGCTTGACTTTCAAACCAGTCTCATTTTCCACCATGGCCTTCCATTTTCTGAAGGTATCAAAGACTTCTGATTTCTTCTTCAGAAAATAAACTCACACCTTCCTTGTTGAATCATCGATGAAGGTGACATAATATAGTGAGCCTGCAAGAGATGGAACTGGGGATGGTCCCCATACATCAGTATGAACCAACTCTAACCTTTCTGCCTTGGGTGTCTTGCCAATCTTTGCAAAACTGACTTTCTTTTGTTTGCCAAAGATGCAATCCTCGCATAGTCCGACATCTACATTCTTTAGATCCGGCAGCTTTCCTTTTGACAGAAGTATCTTCATTCCTTTCTCGCTCATATGGCCAAGCCTTTGGTGCCATAGGTTTGATTTTCCATCAGCATCTGCTATTGCAATGATATTCTCTAAATTTGAGGTTATATAGAGAGTACCAGTCTTCTTACCACGAGCAATGACGAGTGCTCCTTTGGTAATCTTCCATTCACAGCCTGAAAAGGTTGTGCTATATCCTTCTCCATCAAGCTGTCCAACAGAAATCAGATTTCTTTTGAGGCCAGGAATATGTCTCACTCCTGTCAGCTTCCAGGTGGTCTGGTTTGGCAACTTTAGTCGGATGTCTCCTTTTCCGACGATCTTTAAGGTTTCATCATCAGCAAGATGAACCTTCCCAAAATCACCATTGACATAGTTCTCCATGATTTCTTGGTATGGGGTAGAGTGGAAAGATGCCCCTGAATCCAAGATCCATGATTCAATCGGACTGTTGACGCTTAGAATCATGGTATCACCTGTCTCCTCTGTCACGTTGGCAGATTCCTGTGCACCGGTATCTTTCTTCAGTGCTCGGCAATCTCTTTTGAAGTGACCCTTCTTGCCGCAATTATAACAGGTAAAATCTTTATTTCCTGTTCTTGATTTGCCCCTTTTGGATTTTGATCTGCCACGATTTGAATTTCTTTCTGAAGTTCTCCCTCTAGACTCCGTGTGCAAGGCTGAGGAGGTTGATGCTTCACCCGATTCTCTTCGTCGAATTTCTTCACTCAATACCAGATCCCGAACATCGTCGAATTTTAATTTGCTGTTTCCCGACGAACTGCTGACTGTTGTAACAGTAGCATTCCAACTGTCTGGTAGAGATGATAAGAGAATTAAAGCTCGAACTTTATCATCGAACTCAATTTCCACTGAACTCAACTGGGTTGTGATTGTGTTGAGTTCATTTAGGTGTTGTGCCACCGATGCCCCTTCCGCCATCCGCAAATTGAATAATCGCCTCATCAAATGAACTTTGTTTGAGGCCGATGGCTTCTCGTACATACTGGAGAGAGCCGCCATAAGACCCGCCGTGATCTTTTCCTTTGCTATATTAAAAGCAACATTGCGGGATAACGTCAGGCGGATAACTCCGAGGGCTTGTCTGTCGAGAAGAGCCCAATCTTCATCCTTCATGCCCTTTGGTTGTTTTCCTGAGAGAGGTTGATATAGATTTTTCTGGTACAAAAAATCTTAAATCTGCATCTTCCAAAAGCCAAAGTCCGCACCATCGAACTTTTCAATTTTCACCTTCCCTTCGTCTGCAGCCATCGCTCCCACTCGAATCTGGCTTCGTTTGGATCGTTTCTGACAATTCTTGCGAATCACCGTGTATTAGAACACCACCGTCGACAAACTCGTATTGCCGACCGAATTTCACTATTCATGAAATTCACTATTCACGTGAATAGTAATGAATAGTAACCTCACAGAAAATTTGACAAAATTCACAACCAAAAGCTCTGATACCAGTTGTTAGGAAAAATAAACCGAGTATAAGTAATTTCCCTATAACCAGATTAGTGAGAATGCGAAATAAAAGCGGAAAAATAATACCCGGAAATTGATAACGGAATTCAGCCAATTGTGCTTACGTCTCCGGGCTGCTGCAGATCTTTTACTAAGAGAGAAAATTTACAGGTGTTTACAAAACACTCACTACTCACAAGAAAGCTCTCTAGTATAGGAAGAAAGAAATGTTTTGGGATGATTTTGAAGCTAAATGGGTAAGGGTATTTATAGTAGAAACTTAGGGACTAATCTTTGAAAATACCCTAAAGTGCAATGACTAAAGTGAATTTACACATTCCTATTTTCAACAAACAATTACCAAAATTTTACCAAACTTTGAAAAACATTTTTCAAAGAAACATTTACCAAACTTTAAAAAAACATTTTCCAAAGTTGGTTGCCAAACTTTGAAACTTTTAACATTCCTCAATGCAGCAATCAGATGATAGCCTCAATCTCCCATCGGAATTGGATTCCGGAGTTCCACTTGTTATACACATCATTGAAAGATTTGATGCCGCCAAAGTCCACGAATTCTTTTTCTTTTTCGTTGTTCAAAGATTTGATTCCATCGAGATCGAAGAATTCCAATCCTTATTCAAAAGGATTAACGATTAGATCTTCTTGTGAAGTTCCGATTACCAATTTGTTGTTGAAGAAGACTACTTGGGTTTATTTGCAGCCAGTTGAATCAAATTCCGGACAAAGCAACTCCTTTTGCCTTCCTTGGATTAATGATTGTTTCAGGTTTATTGAAAGCAATTTAATTAACAAGATTGTTGCTGCTCTTGACAAGTTGGTGGGTGAAATTCATGTTGCTTCTAGGTTAGATACTTAATTCTTTTTAATAATAGTGTATATTCTTCCGCTACGGGCATATGTCCGTCTTAAAATTCAATTTTTTAAATTAAATATTTATTTTATTGATAATATTTATTTGATATTTTATATATATGTTATTACCTTCAAGATAATTTCTGAATTTGCCTCAAGATGATAAACCTAGGCCGAATAAAATCAAAGGTAAATCTCTCCCATAAAAGGGCATTAAGGTAACTAATTTTTAATCGATGGTGTCATAATGCACGTATTATTTCTCTTAAAAAAAACCTTCAAAATAAACTAACTATAAATGGGAGAAGCCCTCAAAAGCAAAGAAAAAAACAAGAAAAATAGCTTAAGATGCTTATTTTTTTGAGTAGTCCTGGTTAAGAAAATCAAGCAAGACGGTGCTTTTGCATTTGGGGCACTTGGGATCCACCTCCGATAGCATGACATACATGAGGCACCGTGGACATCCCACCAACATCATCGGCGTTCCTTCATAACTATTCGGTCCACCGGGCGGCTCGGAAGACATGCACGAGCCTCCCGAAGACATTTCTGAGGAGGAGACCGATGCATTAGGCGACAGGACAGCTGCCGGTTGGTTAGCTGCCCCTGGAGTAGGTGGTGATAACTCGAGCTTCAGTTCCACCTTCGGACTGCTGGCTTTTCCACTCATCATCACACCTGCTTTGATAATATGAATCATATAGAAACAGATAACATCAGCTGGAGAAACAGACGGCTATAAAAAAAAATCAATCGATGAAACATAAATAAAAATTTGGAGTTGTGTAAAGTGTATGTACCAAATTGAAAAATGAGATCTGTAGAAAGGTGCAGGCCAAAAGAGGTTGATTGGATTATATAAGCAATGATTCTGGGGCAAAAAGTATGATGACCGGAGGGGTTGGTACCTGTAATTGTCATCATTTCCAACTGCTGGGTTTAATTAAAACATAACTTAATGCTCAAATCTCATCTAATTATGCTTTCATTTCACGTGAAAAACTAAATTAAAGTGATGAGTATTTCATATAATATTAGATTGGTTTTTATATTTTAAATCGAATCAAATAAATTACTATTATTCATAGATAAAAGTAGATTTTATTTTTTAATATTATTTTAAACCGAATTGCTATTAGATGGATTTTTATACGCTTGTGCACAAAGCCAATCCGAAAGCTGAAAAATCAACGTTATAAAATTTGACCAGCTTTATGAGGTCAAATATTGCAATTAATTATAATTAATGTACATCTTGCCTTCTTCACAATCCAACTCTCAACCCAGAGGAAACGTCTACAAGCTAAGAAAACCAAAACATTAAATGTTTTGACTCTATGCCATTGCCAGCCACAGTCTTAACAATATTTGAATTATAAAGAAGAAAACCACCTAAAAAAGGTTATATTTAGGTTTAGATTTCCATGTGCATGTAATGAATTGTAGCTAAAAATGTGACAAGAATTAAGACAGTCCGGTTATGGGTGAAAGTAGTAAGATGTGTTACCAATCATGTTTCTCTTCCGGTTCGAGCCTACAAGAAATGTTTAAAATACAAGAATAAAAGTTCCATCTAACATACCTTGTATGATAGATTCATTGGCACAAGTTGCTCAACAAAGTAGCACATATCTGGAGTTTTTAACAGGCTTGGAACCTCCAAAAAATGTCACAAACAAAGCTAGCAAAGTGAGGATGACAAAAGCAGCATAAATGAGCCGGAGATTGGCGGTCGACCACGAAAACAAGTACAGCAGTCGTTTTGACGAGTCCCTCGACTTCGGACAACTTAGTTTCTCGATAGAGATCTCGCCAACACTGCATTCCAACTCCGTTGATGCTTTGGCAGCCAGAAAATCACGTGCTTTAGGCTTCCTCAATTTGATTCTCCGGTTTGCCGTGCCCTGCAAATGGGATGCACGGGGTTCGTTCTCTTGCCTCGGCTGCTGACTTCTCCTCTGATAGCCATTGGAAGTGCTCGCAATCGTAAGTGAGGCATTCGGTCGTGCTGACAATGGTGCTTCATCGAGCTCGATTATATCATCTTTCAGTATCTCAGCAAAGAAATCTTCTTCGGCATCGGAATCCTGGAATTTGAAGCCAAAACATATCAGAATGCCAGGTTTTTAGGCAATCAAAAATACAAATTCAGTTAAACTGCATGAATAATATGTGATACTAGGATAGATTCTTATGAACAAACCTTCTGAGGTGTAGAAGATTCTGTTGGTCCAACATCGTTGGAATGTTTTTGCTCTGATTCAGATGCGGAATCGAATTGCTCAATAGAATGAGAATCATAACTACTAGTACCCTTCTTCAAATAGGCTTTGTCCAGTTCGGAAGCGCCAGTATGGTCAGTAGCACCATCTGAGGTAGCACAGTTGCTGTCATGCATAAATGGTGGAGTCCGAGGAGTCCGGTTTGATGTGTTATTCAGACGAAACTCGTTATTCTTCCTAAGGCGGCAAACAACTAGGGAATCCTACAAATTCAGAAAGCAAATGAAACATGAATAATTCCAATTGAATAGCAATCAAAATAACTCCGGAACTAACCGGATGAATCAGCCTACAACCATTCATCAGGGAAAAAACGGCAGGAAAATATATCAGAATCATTTATTCAAATATTGAGCCCAAATCAGTGAACCGCATCTATTGATATGGCTTGACTACAAACGTGAACAGGCACTGTATATCTCTCTAATAAGAAGCAGGGCAACCAGTCTTCGGATTAATTTAACTTGTATGTTCAATAGTTATGAAGATTTATCACCTGGGACTTTCCGTCCATGCAGTATTCGTGCATGATCCATTCTGTTCTTTCCCCTCTCGGTGCACGACCTGTGTGAAACACAAGAGTCCTCTTGGTACCAATCATATTAGAACCCGACTTGACATTGCGCTCTTTCCCTGTGGCTTTCCAGTAACCCTGTTCAGTTGCACGTCTACTTTGTGAACCATTCGGGTACTTTCTCCCACGAGAGCAGAAGAAGAACCACTCATTATCCGACTTTACAACAGATTTGTCTGGGAAATCAGTGGCAAACACCCAAGAAAAAAAGCATTCGTGAATCAATAACATAACTCTACTGGAACATAAACAATTATCTGCAGCATCAAAAGGAAAATCCAGGTGCTACTTGCAAATTAAGGTTTCATTCTTCCTGCTACATCAATTTTATTTGTGTTTTAATTAATTTGAGAAAATTCGGCATGAAAATATAAAACATAAAAAGAAGAAAATATATTGTGGGGAAGTTAAATGAAAAGTTTGAACTTCTCTGCAGGAAGTGACACAACCTGCGGCAAACAATACAAGTTTTGAACAGATTTATACATGATGATGCCAGCCAAGCATCGATAAATTTCTCAGATCGGAACAACTTGAGATAATTGTTGGGGACAGCTTGCAATTCTACCATTGAAAACATCGATTTCTACATCGAGGGAAGATAAGGCTCATAGTCACAGATTCCATTGCAAATTCTAAACATGTTAACAGTTTTGCAAAGGTTAAATTGCTTGCACACTAGCTTTTTACCTTCTAGATTCCATCAAGCTCATGCATAGTCATAACTTCTAATGGAATAAAACTGAAAGCAAAACTAGAGTAATTGTGGTGCATGTATCAGTAACCCTTAAAACCCACAGAATCCAAGATTTACACTTTTGCTTCTTTTGCATTCTGTTCTGAAAGAAAGTGACAAGTAGCAAAATGACAACAGCCCAAGTATTTCAACATCATCATCATATTTCATATCCAAATTAGAATACCGTAGTTTTCAAACATCCTCGTCATTATCAACATACAAACTCCACCCCAAGTTTTTTACACTTTAAGAGACAAAGCACCGTGTAACACACATAGATGGATGTAAAATAAATAAATAAGCAAACCTGGTAAGTCCCAAGGCTCATATCTACAAATTTCAACCTCGGGAATGACCTCAACACACTTCTCATATCCGTCCATCTTCTTTTTCAAGTAATAAGAAATCAGTTCAACATCAGTTGGAGAAAATCTAAACCCAGGAAACATTGAAGAAGCTTCTATGGTCATCTGGGTTTCTCTTGAAACTCCTTCCCCTGCCATCACCACACCACCAATACAAAACTTGCCCTTCTCCTTTTCTTTTCTTCTCTCCTCTTCTCTTCTCTGTTCTTCGTGTTTGTTGTTATGTTAAAAATAATAATAAAATTTTCTTTTTCCCCCCTCTAAGACTAGTAACTCTTGTTTAGTACGGTACAGGATCTTTTGCTTTTTGCTTTTGGTTAACTTTCGGCTTGGCGGAAACGGGGAAAAAGGAGGGTAAGTTTGAGGTCGTGTGTGCTCTGTTTTGCTCTTTTGAGGTTTGGGTTCGTCTGTCAGAAATGAAAGAGATGTGTCTGAATGTTACGGACCGCGGTTGTCACATGGCGTCCCACGTGGTTTTGGGACTCTCTCGTTTTATAATATTTTTTATATCTTAATCTCAATCAAAAACCAAGTTTAATTACAAGACAGCAAATAAAGCACTTTAATGAATCTAGTGGTTTTGGACGTACATTCTTTTTACTATTTTCCTCGTCACCCAAACCTTAACAATTAAGTAGTAACTTTTATTCTTTTTACATTCTTTTTTTAATTAAAAGAAAAAGAAAATCATATTTTCATGATAAAATGACAATGTAGAGTTATTGTACAACCCACGTGAGTGGTTGGATTTGTTGTCAAATGTATGGTCCGAGACGATTTGATGGGGATTAACTCACATGGATGATGCTGACTCACTACGTATGCATATATAAGAACAAGTAACATGTTGGAAATTATTGGATTTTGATGGTCTGAATTTGACTCTTAGCGCAAATTTGTATCCATAAATTAGAGCAGATTCATACAGCCTAAGAGTTGATTCACTGTCTGGTTTTTTGAAGTTTGGGAATTAATGAACATTAGCCAACAAAACAGATGACGAAACATTAACCAAAAAAGGTTCTATCTTTTCCTTATCTCGTTGAAGTTCGCCCTTCACGTCTCTGGCGCCAACTACCTTAGGCTGCTGCTTCGAATCGTCCCCATTCAAAGCCGGTGAGCCGTTGCTCCATTGCCGGGTCGGACTTGAAAAGCTTCCGATGGGTGCTCTTTTGTTACTAGATAATATGTGTTCTCTAAGACTCTTCACTGACCTGTATCTTCTTATTTCATCTTCATGATCCCAATCTGTGGAGTCCGAACTTCCTCTTTCTAAGCAAATGCTTCCCCATGAAAGCTCCTCCGACCGAGATTTCATCCCATTATTCTCTTTTCCGATCGGAATCCTCTTAGATTCACCATCAACATGATTTCCACAAGCATAACTCCAGTTGTAGCTCTTGTCATAGTTGTCCATGTTTAATTCATTGAAGTGAAGATAACTATCAGCTGAATCATCTGCTTCACACTCTTCTTCACCATTCACCATGACTTCACCTTTATCGACATATTTCTTGACTGCTTGACACATTCCAAAATCTATATTCTTCGAATACGCTTCTAGCTCTTTGATCTTCTGCAAGTTCGGAGAACCATCGCCATTTTTTTCATTGATTTTGGTTCCTAGGTACGCCTCAAGTTCATTCCTCAACTTTTGGACAACTGCAGTCTTCTCCTCAAAACTGATGTTTAGCCTCCGAAAGCTTCATTTGAAGTCGCTCCTCGCGTAAGACATCGGCAAACTGAAGCATTTCCCTTTCCTTCTCCACTTCTTCCCTCACTATAGCCGTCTCTCTTTTCAGTTCTTCTGTCAGGGCTCGATCTTCTCCGATTCCTTTAGCAAACTCGTCAGAGACTTGCTCCAATATTTCCTTTGCCCTCTTCTCACCCTCAAGCTCCTTTGTCGCCTTCGACTGAGATGCCTTTGTATCGGCCAATTCTTTTCCGAGCTTCTTGTTCAATCTCTCTGTTTGCCTCCGTAGTTTCTTCTCCACCTCAAGCTCATCCGCTACACATGCTATGGCATCTCGGATTCTCTCGCGCCCCTTTCTCTTCCAAGCTGCCTTTTCTTCTGCAAAGTGCCTCATGAAGTGCTCCATTTCATCACAATAAGAACGTGGCTCACGGATCAAATGATCAACTCCGGTGCGAGCTCGATCGAGTTCAATGCGCAGGGAAGATATAAGGGACGTGGTCGATGAATGTCGCTCTTGGAGACCACATACATGATTCAAAACTTTTAAGAGTTCTTTCGAAGTGGTAAGGCTATTCCGGATGTCCTTTAAACGAGTTTCGGTCCCAGTTATGCATCCAGCATGATTTTTACCTTTGGAATGAGTTTCAGTCTGCAGCATCATGACGATTATAAATATAAAACAACACAGATGGAAACCGTTTGATCTGGAATAAATTATAAACATACAGATTTGAAGCACAAACAAACCGTTGGTTAGCAATTGAAAAAACTCTGGAAAATTTTCATAATTGTTTCATCACCTCTATTAGACAGGCATTGCCAACGAAGTCCGAACTCCCCAACTTATAGTCAGTTAATTCAAGCTTATGATAAACAACCAAAGATCTTCTCTTATGAGATTTGATTCTGGATCGATCCATTTTTTGTACAATTCAAAAACTTCTAGTAATTGTTTATTTTAATCCAAATCTTCAATAAAATAAAACAGAAAACAAACGAATCCCATCTCTGAAATAGGGCTATAAGACGGATCAGACAAACTAGGTGGCAAGGTGTGAGCCATTTTCAAAACTCTGGGAGCTTTTCTCCTCCTATCATTCTTCTCCAGCTCTTCCTTAGCTGGCGGTGAAGAGATTTTATTGATCTCCCACAACGTGGCGGCAGTTTTCTAGCAGAAACTGAAGTTTCTTTGGTGAACCTGTGGTGGGAAATTCAGCTCTCGGGATTGCTAAAGAAGGTGACTTTGTTGAAGCTGCCAAAATCGCACGCTTGAATCTGTATTTTTGGATCAAAGATGAAGAAGAAGATGATGAACAAGCACGTTTCCTTCCCCATTTTGTTGTGGTTGCCATGACATTGTAAGTTTTATATATAAATCTATATTTATTTTTTTCTGACAACAATTTCGCCTTAAAGTCTGAAACTTGATGACCCAATATCAAGACTTTGAAGTATTTTTAAGCAAAACTATCAAGATTTGAATTGAAGATCTCCTTTTCAAAAATAAATGGAAAGTTTTTTAAATGAGAAGTGGAGGGAGGAAAAGATGATGAAAGAAACAAACGAGCATGTTTTCTTTGTTGGCAAGTCCCTAACTTATTGCCTTGAATTCATCAAAGAAAAGAAAGGGAAGTGGACAATCAAAGATTCTTCTTAAGGATTTTTTTTTACAGAATAAAAGAAAGATCAGAAGAAAAAAAAATAAACAAAACCGAAATGGGATTTGAGAGAGAGAAAGAAAGTGAGAGATTTTGATTCAGAAAACTAGAGAGGGAAAGAAAGTGAGAAAGGGGAGACGACGTGGCTTAAGGTGATGAACAGTCCAAGGTGCCATAATACCAACCACAACCTGCTCATTTTATCCAAAAAAACACAAAACTAAATTCAATTAAACTGTTAATACCGAAATTAGACAAGTAATAGTTATGGTATTATATTCATACTTTGTTCTTAAACCCAACAGTTGCAATTCTTACCAGAACTGGGCAGTAAGAGCCGGAGGTGTAGGGAAGTGAGCGAGCTCAGTTCCAATGCTATCAAAGAAAAGGCCAGTGAAGCTCTTCCCATCGATCGCCGGTATGCTGGATGGAGCTAGCCACCCAATCAGCCCAAATCCTATCACGTTCAAGTCCCTACGCAGCCAGTCTCTCTCGAAGCTTCCCCATGTTTTTAAAACCAATGTAATTAATCACTGTTCACAACTAATACGTTTCATTAAATCATCCATTGATCCAGACTTACCAAGTAAACCTGCCCCCTAAAGCACCAGCTAACCTCAAAGAGTTCCTAGCAGTCGCCCCGCATCTCAAAAACCCTGCAATTATACACCCACCAAATGCTAATTTTACTCTAGGAATGCCAAATGGCAAACAATGTGCTTTTTATCCCCTAAAGGACGTATCTGAAGAGAGGGGTGTTTTCTTTGATGGGGATAACAGCGAGGTGGCGGAGCCGCCGAGGCCGAAGACGGATGATGGGGTTGCAAATGCGGCTGCCATTTTTGGCGTATGGTTGATGTGCCGTCACAGATTTAGTACCTAAGCTTGTGTGCTTGAAATGAGAGGAGGATTTTTTCTTTATGGACTACCCAAGACTGCGTGGATGAGTGATTGCTCAATGGTTCTGAGACACGTCGAAATTCAGTGGATAAAGTGGACCTTCTCTTTGCTTTGTTGGGTGATGATACTACCAGTAAATGATATTCCTATCAATTTTTCTGTTTGCAGATATTGTATTCATTAGATTTGGAATTTTGCTTAGGAATTTGTCATTTATGCTATAAAATTAAAACGTTTAAATATATTTGTTATTTTAACTACTCATCTTCTTATAAATTAGTATAAAAATAATTTTTATTTCCAATTTGATATTTGAATTAGATATATATTTTTAAAGTTGATACATAAAAACTTTTGCTTTAACATTAATATCGGAATTCTAATTTCATCTATCATATTACTGTTTTTAATATATTTTTATAAAAAAAAATCGTTGTCTTCTCAGTCCCAAGGTTTCATCCTAACTAATTTGTACCAACCTGCGTCGTACACAAGGATTCGCATTCTAGATCTTACTTCAGCAATATCAAACTGTTTATCAGTTGAATCAATCATCGTTGATTTTTATAAATTTATTTAATTTATAAATATAATGATATCATCGTTGACATGCCATACAAATATGTTATATAATCTTTATGTTATCACGTCATAAATTATTTTTAATAAAATATAAAAAATATAAATGAAATTGATGTTTAAGTACCAACTTAAAAAAATTATATACAAATTAAGCGATCTCATTAGTAAAAAGATTATTGTTATTTCTTGAGGTCTCAAGTTTAAGCACCAGGAATGTCACTGGTGTAAGCGTTCAATGTCAAATGGTAGAGAGTTATCTACGAACAGAAATTGTTCTGTACTTATCTTAAATTAATTAAAAAAAACTTAAAAAATTATATATATGTTTATCAATTTACAATGGGTAAATTACGTGTTTAATATCCAAACAATCAGTTTTGGTCCGTTTTAATACTTTTATTTTTTATTTTTTAAATCATACATAATGTTTAGTTATTGTTTCATTTTAGTATCCCACCATTATAACGTGTTTAGTACATAAACTATCAGTTTCGGTCTATTTTAATACCTAAGTTTTCATTTTTCTTCGCAAAACTTAACGTCAAATATTAGTCGGTATTGAAATGAAATAAAAAATAAACGTTAGGTATAGTTTTTTTTAAATCAAACTTTTAAATAATTTTATTTAAACAAATAATCATAATTTTTTTTATTAATCAAAGATAATTACAAGTGATAGTATATGTTCAAAAGACTTCAATTATTTGACAATATACATTTAAATATAATGTAGTCGTTGATAATATATATTTTTTAGCTTATTTCTTTTATTTATATATTTTTTTGAGCAAAGTTACTGGTAGTTTTGATGACCTCGATACAATGGAGCCTCAATCAGTTTCAGCAACTTCAACAAATGATAATTGGAAAAAGGAAATGCAAACTGAGTATCAAGCTCTAGTTCGGAACAAAACGTGGCACTTAGTCCCCCGTCTTCAAAGCATTCTTTGGTTGAAAGCAAGTGGGTTTTCAAGCTCAAATATAGTCCAAATGGAAGCATTGATCGTTACAAAATGAAATTGGTTGCTAAGGGATTTCACCAAACTCCTGGAGTTGATTTTTTTTTAGATATTCAACCTTGTTATCAAGCCTGCTACGATAAGGATTGTTTAACTCTTGCTGTGTCAAAAAGATGAGAGGTTCGACAACTAGATATTAATAATGCCTTTTTGAATGGATTGTTGGCAGAAGATGTGTATATGGTGCAATCAGATGGGTTTGTTGATCCTGAAAAATCAGATTTTGTGTGCAAACTTGATAAGGCTATCTATGGCCTTAAATAAGCTCATCGTGCTTGGTTTGACAGGCTGAAAAATACATTAGTTGATTGGGGTTTCAGTCATTCTTAGTGTGATACATCTCTCTTCTTTTTCAAGTCTCACAACAAAATCTTATTTATACTTGCTTATGTTGACGACATTTTGATCACAGGCAATGACAAAGAACTTATACAAGCTTTCATTCACAAGTTAAACAAGATTTTTGCTCTAAAAGACATGGGGTCTCTACACAATTTTCTGGGCATTAAAGTTCACAGAGATGAGACTGGTATGTTTTTTATGCAAACCAAATATATTAAAGATTTGTTACACAAAGCTGATATGGAATGTGCTAAAGCTTGTTCAAAGCCTCTTGCTGTTGGAAAAAAATAATCTAAAAAAGAAGAAGTCATGAGGAATCCAACTTCTTATAGATATATTATAGGTGTTCTTCAGTATCTCACGCGTACTCGGCCAAACATAGCATACACTATCAACAAGCGGAGGCAGTTTCTTCAACAACCAACTATGGTTTATTGGCAAGCAATAAAAAGGGTTTTTCGTTACTTGAGTGGAACTGCTCATGTTGGGTTGCACATCAAATACAATGAGAGACTCCATTCAAGTGGTTTTTCAGATGTTGATTGGGATAGTTGCCCAGATGATCGTCGTTCAATTATAGGATCTCGTGTTTACTTTGGTGACACTTTGATTTCTTGGTCTTCTAAGATGTTGTAGCTCAGTCGAGCATGGATGTCTTTAGCAAATCTTGCCACAGAGTTATCGTGGATTACTTACACTCCTCAAAGAATTTTCATTCTCTCTACCTTCCATACCCATAGTGTGGGTTATATCGTAAGTGCAGTTGCTCCCGCTTCCAATCCTGTGCACCATACTCGAACAAAACATATTGAAATATATGTTCACTTTGTTAGAGATATGGTTTTGAGGAAAGATCTTGAAATTCGATATGTTCTGCCACATGATCAGATAGAAGACTGCCTTTCAAAGGCGCTAACAAGTTCTCGTTTTCAGTTCTTGCGTGACAAAATTGGTGTGATTGAATCATCCTATCGTGTGAGGGGAGAGTTAAAATAGTAACGTGATCAAACATAGTGCCTAGTTTTCAACCTCAAATCACGTTAGTTTCTTCAGTAATGTATTTGTTAGTTGTTCCTATTTTATTGCCTAAAAGTCCTTAAGTCCTTCAAGTAATTCCTATATTTTCTATCAAGTAGGTTATATTTTATTTTATAAATATGAATGAAATATCTGTGCAGTAGGTGTGTTGAATTTTTTCAATTACTCTAGTCATAACTTTACATTTTTTCTCATTGAGAATCAGACTAAAATAGAGCTTCCCGAATGGTTCTTAGGTGTTGTACGGTTCTCTGAACTGAAACCCGATTTTGCTGAGTTTATCGAACTGTCATCTTATGGGAGCAACGGTAATTTGCAAGTATCGCTGCCAACACGGTTATGGAAGTCACTTGGACTGATTTTCTCAGCTTATTCATATATGACCTCAAGAAAGTGGATCGATCTCTGCTTCAACAACCCTAGTTAATGGTGCTGCTGTTCATTTTTCTTGTTTTTTATGGCATGTTCATTTCATTTTTTATACCTTCTCATTTCAGTTGGTCAAATATGGTTTGTACTATGTTTCGATTGGTATAATCGTGGGATTTTGTTTAGTATATTATTAGAGCAGGAAGAGGAGGAGGAGGAAGAAGAAGTTAAGTGCCATGTTAGATAAAATTAACAGAAGGTAATGTCGGAAACTTTACTGAAAATGAACAAAAATTCGATGATTGTATTACAAGTCTTATACGCTGGGTGACTAAAAAGCAAGTGGACTAAAAGTTCGATGACTATTTATATATTTTACCTGTTTAATTATAATTATAATTTCATTAGTAATATTTTGAAAGTGAGAGAAAAGGATACTCATTTTCCAGATGTAAATACACTTGGCGGCAGTGTATAGATATTTATGCGTTCGCCACCAATTTCACAGGAAGAAAGCCATTGCCAATGGACACTCTTTCAGGGTTAGCTTTCATCACCAACTGCAATAGTTCTCCATATACGAGATTCTGTCCCCATCCTCGTCCTCAAAGTCCTCCATTTTCTAGATCCCAAACTGTACATGTCTTGAAAACAAGCTCTACTCCAGGTGACATCTTCACACACTCCTTACACTTCGTATTAACCCATTGGATTTTGAGTTTTATGGTTATTTGGGGTCATATTTTGTGAGGGTTTCTTTTCAAATCTAAGTTTTTTAGGGGATTATCATTGAATTAACTTTTTGTCGAGTAGATTTTTTCGTCTCGTGGGAAATTAAGGACGGATGTTTTCTTGGATCTACTTCCTTTTACTTTCTGATGAATTTTACTGTTTGATCATGATAATCATGGCTACTAGTTGCATGAAATTGTATTCAATTTCGCATGCTGCAATTTCTTTATCATACTATCCATGAACCATTCATGCAAATAAGTGAAATTTTCCACCCACCATTTTCGGCTTAGATGTTGATCAGATTTAGTGTATGAGTTATATATGATTGATTACATTTATTTGACATTATAATTGCTGACTATATGTGGTAATTTTTCACTTCTCTCTTATGTTTTAATAAAAATTTCAGTGAGTGAATCTGTAGTAGAGAATGTTCTGGAGATGTTCTTCAAGGATAGAGAAGTAAATGGAGATTTTATTTCAAAAGTTTCAGACAAGCTATGACAGAGGGACGTACAAATATAGTATTTCTTCACTTTATTTTGCTGATACGATTTTAGTTTAACATGTCGGTTTGCCGTGTGCAATAATACTAAATCCTCAACTCCCTTAGCCTAACCTCTTATGTATTCCTGTTTGTCATTATAATAATATAAGAGGGATGACTTGCTTTTTATTGGGAGGAGGAGAGGGGTGGGGGTTCTTTTCCTTGTGTATATTCTCTCCATGTTTGCATATTTTTCTACATATTATTTTGTTTATGAAGCCGAATAGCTGATTCAATTCACTTGTGCTATTGATTATAAATATGTGTAGGTCATTGGAAGTGATGATGGTAGTGGGTTATTGAAGCTGTTAGCTACTCAAGAATGGTTATCAGGTGACAATTCTGCACCAAGGAATAAGAAAGCCATTGCCAAGGTTTACTTTTATCATAATCCTCCCTCATTCCCCCATCTCTGGTTATCATTTTATTATCATTTTACAGTCAAAGTGACGCACATGTGTTTGTGAGACTAGTGCTTGCTAAACATAATCTGGCTGTCCTTGGTTATCTCAGATAGAGCAGAATCCAATGGATAAAGGCCTATATGTCTGTTAGATTTGGCCAAAATTTAAAATTAAAACGATGAAATTCTCTGCATTTATTAACTTCGGAAAATCCTTGTCAACCATATGAACAGGTGTATGAACAGGTGTTGCGGGATGATAGCGAACGAAGGAAGAAACTGAATCTTCTAAAATATGAAGATGTATGCTACTCGTCACTAAAATATGAAGATGTATGCTACTCGTCAGATTTCTCAGTTAGTTGTAGGGGATATTTTATATCTTAAGTTATTTATGTAATGTATATCAACCTTTTAAGGAAAACATAACCAAAATGGAGAGTGTTAGAGAGAGAGTGGGAGAGAGAGAGAGTGTGTAATAGGTTTTTAGTCCTCCGGCGAGGATTGGACGGTGTTTATGGACAATCTGAGTAAGAGAGTCACTTAGAGAACAGTTAAGGAAATTTTTCAACAACAGGGTAGTGTACTGCGAGTCTACATTCCGAGTAGCTCTAACAAGCCGAATTATAGAAACCATACTTTTGCTTTCGTTCTGTTTGCGAAGGAGGAAGGTTTGAAGAAGGCGGTAGCAAATGTTAATGGTATTTGGATAGATGGAAAGAAAGTATCGATCGGGGTAGCTAAGTATCAGAAGCAGAGGTCTAGGCAAGCTGCTAGTAGAAATTCCATAAGGGAAGAAGATTTGTTGAATAAGGGAGTGAACTGGAGAAGAAGAGTTAGAAATGAGTCTTTATGTCATTTGAGGGATGAAAGATCATATAAGGATGCGTTAGTCTCCTATGGTGGGCTGAGGGAAGTTTCGGTGAGTAAAGAGAATAGGGGCGGGCTTCTTAGAAAGGACGCAGGGTTGAAGAACTTGTGGGAGATGCATATCCCCTATGATGAATCGGATTGGGTGAAAAGTTCATTGACAGGGATTATTAAAACCCATTTCGACTTGGAACTAGTGCTGAAGGGGCTGGCTAGTGACGGGATCAAGGTCAAGTTAGCTAAATGGAGTTATGCATGGAACTCATGCATTTTAACCTTTGGTTCGGTGGAAGAATTAAAGGAGGCGTGGTCGAGCATAATGGAGGAATTGTCATTTTGGTTTGATAGGCTTCATTCGCTTCTGAATGAGGAAGGTTTACCGATGGCCTATTGTTCGGTTGAATTAGTTGGAATCCCCTTATTATGTTGGAATGTTTCCTTTCTGGAAAAACTTGTTACAAGGTAGGGGAAGCTAATTTGTATTCACGATTCGACGGTCAGAAGAGAGGACATGGCGATTGCAAGGGCACTGTTGAGGGTGGCCAGTCCTTTTGATATACCAAAAACAGTTACATTGGGATCGTATGGGATATCTTTTAAGGTTAAAATTAATGTGGGGTCGGTTTGTATTAAACATAAAGGTTTTTCAGTAGAGAATTCAGCGGTGGCCGACGATGGTGTGTATAGAGATGTTGCATCATCAGAGGAGGAAGAAGATCGGTGTTCAGGAGAGGTAGGTAGATCCGACATGTTAGCTGAGGACACTAGAGGTAGAGTGGACACGTGGTTGGAAGGGGATGATTGTACAGCTGTAGCTGGCGGCAATGGGAGTCAGCAATTAATGTGGCAGGTAGGAGAAGGTCAACCTAGTGGAGAAAGGGTGTCAGAATTTCCAGAAGAAGGTTTGAATTATAGAAGGGATTACCAGGGCCTTGGGTTAAGGAATAATTATTTTAATGGTAGTGAAAAAGCCCAGTCAGATGACTTGTGTGAGCCCATCTCAAACAATCCAAGAATCTCACCAACTGGGTCAGCTGTTAATTTAATTAAATTGGGTTATGGTAAACAAAAAGAATCTCGAGTGGAAATACAAGGAGATCTGCAGTAGACAGTTTTGGTTGAATCAAATTTGCAGAATTTGGTCAATGCTAGGCCTGACTACAACTCAAATGGATTGCTGGAGGGTCCAATGACAGATTACAGTCTCAATTTAGAGGGATTTTAAAAAAGTCAAATGAGAAAATGTTAGAGGAAATAGTGGACTTGGATAAGGAATATAGAAGTGTGAAAGAAACCGAGGTGGATAGGGAAGTCATACCAGTTCAACCGGTTAGTAATCAGGTGTTGGGATTCAATAAGGAGTCATTTTCAAATGGTCTAAAGAGTTGGAGTCCTTTGGATCATTTGTCTAGAAGTTTGTACTTTAGAAATGCCCCGGTTGGAAGGTGGAATAGAGGAACTTGTTCTAGAGTGTATAGAAGATCTATAGAAAGAAAGGTTTGGTTCGGTGGAAGAATTAAAGGAGGTGTGGTCGAGCATAATGGAGGAATTGTCATTTTGGTTTGATAGGCTTCATTCGCTTCTGAATGAGGAAGGTTTACCGATGGCCTATTGTTCGGTTGAATTAGTTGGAATCCCCTTATTATGTTGGAATGTTTCCTTTCTGGAAAAACT